TTGGGGGGGGGGGAGGAGGGGGAATTGTGGCTGGAGAGTTACCAAATATTGAATAATATTAAATTTTCTGTTTACACAAGGTTTTCATTACAGCGCTGGATAGGCTGTCAGTCAGAAAGCACAGAAAATGTCAATACCCTCGTTTCGCGGTTTTGCGATATTTAAAAACAAAAACAGACGCATACGGAGATTTCCATGTGGCCGCACTGTCCCTCGTGGGAAATATAACGCGAGTAAATATACTATCACTATTTCGATGCAAATTTATTGAAATAGGATTCTCTTCGGAGATCGGTCGGAAAAATACAATTCGAAAATATTGCGTAAATAGGAGCTTGTGAAATAACGTGAAGTTTTCGGATTATTCGATCGCTGGGACTATTAGATACTACGATCGACCTATGATAAACAAAATCATTCCACAGAGAGGTACAAGTCTTCTGTGTACGCATCGCAAGATCTAAGTGGCTCGCCTGTACTTCCTTTCGGCTATCTTTTACATTTTTCTAAGTCGACTTTAACCTAAGGACTTCACTCAACGTAACAAATGACAATAATGACGTAATAAACGTCAAATGTAACATGACACAGGGTGTCATATTCATTTCAATGTCCCCTACAATTTCCTTAATAAAAGGCGCAGGTGACTTGAGGCGTGCAGATAAAGGATATCTATAAGAATGCTGATGGAACTGCAACATCCTTAAAATAACACAATTTTTGTTTAAAATATATTCGTGAAAAGTGCTAATAAAGTTCATGTTTTAGCACCACGGATGCACAGCTGGTACATTGAAAATTCCACAACGATGGCCAACGATTCACTACGGAAAGCAATAAATCTCTGCCAAACCCCATCCTAGCATATTGCACGACTTTTAATTAAGAACCACTAAGTTGGAAAAAAATGTTCTGCTGTCTACTATATACAATTCATAATGACATTCTCCATGAGATTTCAACTGCACGTGGAAGGCTGACCCAGTACCAATCACACGGGTATTTTAACATATAAGTCTTCAAGGTTAACATTAGGCTCGCATCACAATTCCATGTTCTATACTTGAAATCCATAACCTTTTTTAAGAAAATGGAAATTTATAATTATCATTTCACAAATTACATCATAATCAATGTAATCGTCCATCGTTCAATATATAGTTATATATTCATTGTTAATCGGTTCTTTGGCGGTGGTCAAATGTCTCGCGTAAAAGCGACTTAAGAAGTGAACTACATGAACGATGTAGATATCTCGTGGCTGTAACCTAATAGTCTGTTTAACAGATTCAAATGATTAAAATTACGGCAATTCGCACGATTAAATATATGAGGTGACCGTGCAGTATAATTGAAGCAACAACAGTATTACAGTATAAAGTTTGACTTAACTGGCACTAGTACCTACTTTCATTGTGACTCTGGTGAATCGAGTAACGAAACATTAGTTTATAATGCTGTACAGAACAGTCACACGATTACCACATTACACGTAAAATAAGATTACTATTCATTATTGTTATTGATAACTATAAATTGATCTTCTGTCTCCTTAATTTATCCTGTTTGAATCTACGTACCATGTACGTTTTTGCTATAACAGATTAAACAAAGGTTTGTCGCAGTTCATGAATACTTCCATATTTATTCAAAAGTGTGATTCGAATCCCCGATAGTTGAGATGCTCAAACTGATAACTTTATTGCCGATTCGCTTTTGCCAGATTATGTCTTTAATTTATTATACTAATAAAAGTATTACTAATTTTCCGTAAAATAGGAAATATTAATCTTCGCTAATTCGTCTATTCTATTATCACAATCTACTAGCGAGTGGCAGTTCATTGGCATAGCTCATATTTTTTTGGTTTTGCTACTTCTCTATGGAAATTTTGCTCGCCGTAGGCTGCATTTAGAGCAGACTCAGTAAAGAGTACTTCATCTTATAATTATTTTCTCTAAAACTCAATAATAGTATCTATCGGGAGTCTGCCCTGGTTGTGAATAATACGTTAAAAATATACAAAAAGAAACAGCCTAAATATCTGAAGTTATACAGGCGTTATGTTAAAATCATTTTAAAATGTATTTTAAGTGAATTTCACAAATAGTACGTTGCAATGTCAAATGAAAATATATAACAGCATTATGTACAGTTTGACAGTAAATAAGCGGTTGCCGAATCGGACTGAGCATACGGGTTGGTAGTATTTGCTGAGTAGATTACAATTGTCATCAAAGTACCAGCGAGAAACAGATCAGCCACGAGGTAGGGAAGCATCGCGACAAATTCGTAGATTCCTCAAGGAGAAGCGAAGGAGAGCGAGCGCTGCAGCTCAGGAGAAGCGAAGTCAGAGAAACGTAGAAGCGAAGGGCTTCATTATTCAAAGGGTGTCGGCGTCTTGCATTCTGCCGCTCCGTTGAATTCGCGGAAGTTGACGGGTGAAATCCAGCCAGCCGTAGTCGAGTCCTCCCATCTTCAACTTCCAACCTCCAAACCTCCACCTGTACGCATACCTGTCTCATTCGCTCCTGCAACCTCTGCCCCACCTCGGCTCTCAGTGTTGCCAGCAACCAGCTACGGTAACCACATTTAAACCGTCACTTGCTGGCTTCTCTGCCATCTTAGCACGTAGATTCTGATTTCATCCGTCAGAAGCAGTATCCGGTCTACTGTTCCATCGCCAAATATATTTACATAATGCAGAACGACACGACGCTCATCTATCCCTATCGAGGTATCGATTTTACAAGAATTAAGGGTCCATTATCAAGCGCTCTTTCATACTATCCTCTATTACTATAACGAGATGGAGTCTACAGATTTTCAGTTTCGCATCACATTAAAATCTGCAACTTCGTATATTTCCCCACTGCCCGATTCCGTCCCGATAATGATCGTAGAAGACATTTATTTTAAGGAAATGACGCTTAGACGTCAGTTTTGAGTGGTGGTGAAGACATGCCTTCAAGAGGTCAAAGGAACGGTCAAGGCATCTTGAAGGGTCGAAGGGTCGTCCTGGGAGGCCAGAAAGACACGTATGTCACGGACGTGCCTGCGTGGTTGGATTTGAACGATGTGAAGATTTTTTTTTTGGCTGACGTCAGATAATGTACAGGTAGGAAACAGGGGTGGGATATTGATGGGATAGGGATGGTATAGTTATACACCAGAGAAGTCGAGTGTGTATATACATATATTCCACGTATATTGCTCGCTGTGTAATATTTCGTGAAGCGTGCACGACGCGTGAGAGACGTGGATTGCGGTTGCATTGGGTGAGCTGACGCGACGAACGGGGAGCGAAGCTGCAGGGTACGTATTATAGATATCTTCTTGGTAGAAGATGGAACCGAAAGCAGTCGGTCTCACAGCAGAGCGATCACAGGATGGCGCGGCAAACGGCAGGGAGCGAAAGCCGCTCCTTGTAAATCGCATCACAGATCAAACACGGCTTGTATATTAAACGTAACCGGATACTACTTCGGGAACGCTGACTGCTTATCTACTGTCCAAACTCAGGGGTCAACCATCATTTGTGATACTCCTGTTTTCCCTATGGCTATTCGACGTCAGTCGTACTTTCGTCGGAAAAAGTCTTCGCTATTTCGCTATTGGCTTCGATGGATCTGCTCAAAGATTTACGTTTCGATTCGTCCGAGGGAGCACGTATACGGCGTCTTACCTTTTGAGATCAATACTTTTGCATCTTCCCACTCAACGTTTGACGGATGGCAGATAGCAGTCAGATATCACATTTCGAATTTAGTCGAGGATGTGACCTTTGCCACTGCTTTGAGATTCATTCATATTTATTTGCTTGAATTCGAGCGCGAAAATCAATGCGAAATTGTTTGTCTTGAAAATTGTCGATAGGAAATTTTTAATTAAATGAATTTAAAAAAAAAATTATTTCAGCGCGCCAGATTACGGTAAACTGATTTTTTTTTTAAGTTATCGATAAGATATTTATTAAATCAAGTATCACTGCGATGATTATGTTTGCTATTTACTTTTATGAATTTCATTAAAACTATTAACAGTCGAAAGCTAAGGAAAGACTGACCGTTTAACGCACTACGTGTACAGTTACTCAACGTTTTCAAAGGGAAGTGGTTTTATATCCGGAAACATACGATTGCAACTTGGCAATTTGAGATAAAGTTCGGTATTAACTATGCTTGAATTAGATGTATTGTTTTTTTTTCTCTTTCTCAATATTTCGCATATTCCTACTGGTATCCGCACGATAATGCTTTACACGAATAAACTACAGTAAAATAATGATCGTTTTATGTTTCCTATTACTTGTGTTAATATAACATTTTAGCTCGTCTATTTTCCGTATTCCGTACGGACTATACAATAAACAGTTTGTTAAGTTCCTGCAATTTAACAACGTTCCGGTTTTACTTCCATGTAAAATAAGCTGTTCGTGTTTCTTCAGTATGTATACCACGATAAATTCGAGGAGTACCTAGTATCATTTTCATCAAGAACCGATCACAAAGATCAAACGAAATCTACTCGTCAGTCATGCATCTCCCCTAAGCCTTATTAAAGTGACATGAATGGTGAACCCTTTACCCACAAATGAAGGGTCAAAATGCTTGCCAGTTCAACGATGCCTGTGGCAACGTACAGAAGTCACGAGGACAAAGAACAGCATGCCACAAGAAAGATATGAGAACTTACTTGACTCAGCGGACGAATTCGTTCGTGAATGGATTTTTCTGCCTGAAGAGCCGACGGCGGAGGATGATCTGGAGTAGGTGGTTGCACGTAGTGCGTCGGACTCGTAGGTACTAGCATCTGTACACGACGTAGTCTTTTGTCAGTGGTCTCACGAATCTCCGTTCCTCCTGCCTGAGACACGAGTCCATCACGTTTGTCACCGAGGAGACTCTCTTGAGATGACTTGAGCGTGAGAAAGGCGCTGGAGACGTAGGTTTCCTCGGCACTGGGCATCATGGAGCTTTCGCTGCAGGGTGACTTGTCAGCGGATGGATTGGACTTCTCTAGATCATAGTTTTCGTATGCTCGCTCGCAATGTCGTCGCAGCTTACGTCGAGGATTTTGCGTCTTGATCGGTCGATTCTCGTATATCGAGGTTATGGCGACAGGCTCGGCGTCCCGTTCGCGTGGATCTCGGCTGGAGGCGTAGCGCGCTTTCATGTCTACGTACTGGTCCACGCTTCTCGTCGCGTGACGCAAATTGTCGCGACGGTTCTGAAGTTGCTCGAGGTCGATGTGGCTGCGCGCTCCACTACGTGCCAGAAAGAGGTACTCGTAGTTGCTAGGACCTAGGGAGCAATCGGCGGAAAGTGACATCTGGGTCTGGAGATGCGTCGGCGAGACTGACAGGTTCCGTCGTGGTGGCTTCTTCGGAGGTGTGGGCTGTAATGGCAAGTCAAAAAAACTTTACTCGTAGTTGCAAATTTTATTTACTCGGGAGTCAAGTATGTTTACGACTTTGGATGATTTCAAGTAAAAGCAGATTTTTTACTTGCAGACTTAACGACCTATTATCTTGACCAATGAGCCGCGACGCGGAGAAAATTCTACTGTCCCTCGGTACGAAGAGGCTTTTTATATTAAACAACACTGAGAGATACTTCGAAGCGATGGGTCTTACCGAAACTTTACTGTTCGATGCTGGACTGTGCAGAGAGCTTGACAAGGGCGCCATCGGCAGGTAAATTCCAGCGGCAGTGGGATCGCTTGGCAAACAACGTCGCTCGCGGGGACTTGGCCCTCCGATACTTGACGAGGACGAGACGCTCAACTGGTCGGAGTCCCGGCCACCCCCGAATCCCGTGGGCAATGTCAAGGACAAATCCTCGGAGACGAAACTACCCTCCATAGCACCTCTAGGCCCCGCAACATTTTGGTTGTAGAGACTGCTGTCCGATCCTCTGTTCCAATCAAATCATTGATACGTGTAATTCCCTTACTGTTCCATAATTAACTGCTCTGATAAAAAAAAAAGTCAAATATTTTATTATCATACGAAATTTTTTTATTTTTTATCCTAACTCTTGCAGAAACACCATTACTGACTGGTAATAATTAGATAATACACAGCAAGATCGCTGTAACGAGCAACTGTCTGAGCAATAATAACGAAAATAAAAATATAAAAAATCGGAGCGATATTGAAAAATCTTGATATAGTAAAATTCAAAAGCTGTCACTTTTTATGAATGTATGATTTCGTAATACCAACATTGATGATGTATTAGTGTCTTATTAGAAAAACTAACGGCCCCGCATTTATACTCAAAATTTGATATTATACAGGAGCTAGCGTGATCCTCATAGTTGATGCAGGTTCTTTTACTTATCCCTTAATGAGGTAAGTACTTCATTTTTATCAAAGCAAAATACGCGCAATCAATGCAAAGTGTCTTGTATTTAACTACCGACAGCTCAATAAAAACGGCAAATATGCACACAAGAAGCATCTTCGTCTAATAAGTCGAGACCTAGGAAGCAAGGTGCCGAATTTTTCATTCTCATACCGTGTAGTGTCTGACGGTGCAAGTGATACTGGTGTTGTCGTTGGTGTTGTTGCTGTTGTTGCTGTTGTGTTGATGAGTGCTATATCGACACTAGTGTTCAGTGGCATGTCTTCGGGAGTTCGATCAGAGCTCCCGAAAGTATTAATAGAGTTGAGTGTGTCAGACATGGACATAATGACACTATCGAAAACGGAGCTCGTTTCAGAATCCTCAAGTTGCTGCTGGACTTTCCGAGTTCCGCCGACGTGTTCTCCGCTTTGTTCGTCTTCGCTGAAAGACGCAGCCAGTCAAAAAGGTGAAGCCTAGATCTCACCTGGATCTCAATAGAAACTGTTTAATCCATAATTCCCTACTTGACGTAGAGGAACCAAGGCGCTGCACTCGCAAACTTCATTTCTCCTGGCTACATAGAGCAAGTATAGTTCTGTACTTGTATATTTACTATTGGATAAGAGTTCTGAAAGAGTAGTTCAGAATAGCAAAGTCCATCCTGAAAATTAAAGTTAATTTGCCTTCCTTTTTTTTTGGAGATATAAAAATCCCAGGTACACGTCGAAAAGGTGAAGCCTCGTAACGACCCGTGATACGTAGACAAATAGACCGACAGTTTCTTGCGGAATCCGCAGCGGTACAGGACTTCAGATTTTAATAAGGCCAAGGGGCGAGGATCGCGATGTGGGTGGTCGCATGGGGTGTCGGGAAGCGCGAAAGGTTGGAAAAGGGTGAGCGGGAAGTGGGCGTGAGGCGGTGGCTGGAAGGTGGTTCGAAGGTCAGTCGAGTTGCGAAATAAGGACCAAGGAGGACGGAGGTAGGAAGAGAGGGCGGATGGACCCAGGGAAGAAGAGAGGCAAGGGAAGACTGCGGGCAAGGAATGATTATTAGTTTTATGCCGAGACGTGCCAACATTTACATTGTTTAACGTGATGGATTCATGTCGAGGCGACGACCGAGCCGGGGCTACCAATGTCAAACATTGATGGTGGCGGCAGGCGGCAGGGTTGGTTCGGCCGAGTCGGGCTTAGTTGTAGCTGCGTGGCAGCGGCAGTAACAGTAGCAGTGGCAATGAGCTTAGCCAAGGGGTGACCCGGGGCGAGTGAGGCGAACGAGGCAAACGGACCCACCGTAGCCTGCCTACATCAGGAAAATTAAACCAAGCCAAGCGGTGCTTAACGCGCTGGGGCTACACGCGGCAGCAGCACCTCCGCCTCCACGAGTTCTGCCTCTTACTACCACTGCTGCTCCACCTCTGGCTGAACCACCACCTCAACCTCCTACCTTCTCGACGGTCCGAACGAGCCTCGCACGCTCACTGGTTCATTCACTCTGGTCTACATCTAGGCTTTTGTTTGCGCGCATCTCCTATATTAAACCCAACCTCGTTCATATCGAATATTCCGTAAAATATTATGCGCGCCTGTATCTACATCACGGGGGTGGATATAAGAGAGAGATAGAGGTGAACGAAAAAGAATGAGAAAGAGAAGAAGAAGAGTGAAGCTTAATATATGAAGATGAAGAGAGACAGAAAGTGGAAGTTCGCGGAAGCAAGGATACTTGTAAAAATACTCCTGCACAGACTATTAAAATTCTGCGCTATCCATATCGAAGCAAGGTTCCACGAACTCTGTTGCCTTTAACACGTCTGCACTGTTTTCAACCTCGTGCGAAGTTTACGCAACGTCGACACACTGGAGTTAAATGTTTCGAACGTTCTTATTGGCCGAACTCACCAGCGGTCCGTAATGTTCGCGCAAGTGATTTAAACTATATCGGAGGACAACTTACCGTGAGAGGTAAATTGTAGAGAGTGGCTGAATAAAGTGGGCACTGTAAGGTGGAAACCTGAATCGGTAGGAATAATGTCCAACGATCACGGAGTACAAAACGGATTGGGTTCCCTCAAGCTGAAGCTGGTGAGAGGATTGGTCACTGGGTGCATCGAGACGCGCTTTGCCCCGTCAGTGGCGTTGATTTCCGCGATTAGCGGCAATCGGATGAAATCGTTCGATTCGCAAGAATAAATCGTGGAAACAATTTTTTTCTTAAATCACCTCACGCACGACAAAACGAATGGAGTCGCCCGATACTTAATTAGCTTGGTAGAACTGACTGAATAATGAACAATATTCTTCTTGCACCGATTTATCAGCGTTCCATTAATATCCATCTTTTGATTGAATATCAAAGAATCATCCGAAAAAATTATCGGTGCAATTAGATTCCATTAATAGAGACGTGCGGTTAATTTTTCTTCGTTTGAGTCAATTTTTGAAATACCGATCACTGAATTGTCATGCAGCATAGCTGTATGTACAAGAAAAAATCTACTTCTCAAATAATGATTCTCTTTCTGAATCATCGTCGATGCGGAAACTCTATAAGAACTCAATAGGAAAATACTCACAAAGACATGACGGAAGTGCCGGAAATTCGTCGATCGTCGTGTCGAGGCTTGTGATAGAATTGCCATTGCGTGGGAGAGGTTCCTTCTGCCGGTGAAAGGTCATCCCCAGGACGTACGTTTTCATAAGGGCTACCCAGGGAGTCGTTAGTCTGCACGGGAATCGGTGGTAAATTTTCACTGTCGGCATCACTCTCCACACCGGACGAGGATCTGTGTCCTGTGAAATAAAAATTTTCATAAAATTAATTGTCCCGCGGAATGAATTTTATTTTTTCTACACGACCGAGGAAAAGCATTAGGACGAAAAGTGAAAACACAATAAAGAATCTAATAATAAGAACGTAAAACGTACTCTTTATAACGGCTGTAATGTCTTGGGTAACGTGCGGCGGAAATTGTCCTAACAAATCCAATACGGTGTTGTGCCTTGAATCTCTGATACCCAGATCGACTCCGCGATCCAAAAGCGCACGCACCACTTCCATCTTCCCGCAGAGTGCAGCCTCGTGCATCGCGGTCCCCGCAGACGTTCGTGTGTTCACGTCGACACCAGCCGCCAGCAGCACTTCCACAACGGCTCTACGAAAAGCAATGTGACGGATTAATAAAAAAAAAAAAAAAAAAAAAGAAAATTTAATTAACAAAAAATATTATTCTAAGGGTGACAAAAAAAAAAAAGATTAATACGATATTATATCGACAGGTCATTTTGCAACGAATCGAATAACACTTGTATCATTTACAAAATAAATCAGTCGACATCATCCACCTGGGATCAGATCGTGATATTACGAATTGTTAGAAGAAAAAAAAGTTATTCATGCATATCGCTCCGAATTACGATGCTCGAAGTATAAGAGAGCACAGCGTCAATCCGCAACGAAACCCAATGGGAATTAAATGGTGTTCAAAAAGGGTTGGAATTCAAGGGAGATGGTTCGGCTTTGCCAAAGACGAATGACGTGTGATGTTGAATTGGCAGACAGGGAGCATCGAATAGCACTGGCAGTACTATCGGCAGCGCGTGCATCAGGATCAGAATCAGCAGCAGCAGCACCACCAATCATCCATCCATCGCATATAGGATTCAAACTGGGATCGGATTCGCATGCACCTATGTTGTTATTACCGTACCATAGGGGTATTTGTACTGGCTTACCGAGAGCAGCGATATTGAATCCGATAATTGACATTA